GGGTGCTGAGCCTGTAGTGATAACTTATTAAACTTCTTAAACCAGATGTATTATTTCAGTTATCTCTTTTCCACTCTCTAGTGTTATGATTTAATACTCATCCTTTGATTTTGTGAATTTATCATAAGAATAATTTTTTTGGCTGCTCTCTACAGTGTGTCTTCCCAGATAGTATTCGTTTGTCTGACACTTTGACCATTTATTATGAAAAAAAACACCTTCTAAAAGTTCACAAGATAATGAAGAAAATATCAAAGAAATATACTTAATAAACAATGGGGGAGGAGTTGGGAAGATTTCTGTGATACTTTCCTTACATATAATTTGGGACTTCTGAGGTTCTTGATTCTATTCTTGTTTTGTGAAAAATGTGTATGAGAAAATTATGTTCAACACATGTTCTCGCCTCAAAAATGTTTAAATTTATTGATGAGATAGAATATACTTTTTTTCAAAAGAGAGATAGGAACATGACAGTAAACCAATAGGATGAGGCACTGTCAAAGATACTCGGGATGCAGAATTATATTTACAGCATCTGGACCAACCAGGAAGGCCTGGTGGAGGAGGCACAGCTTACTTCTGTAACTTAAAGAATAAGAAGGCTTTGAAAGTTAAGAGATGGTGGGAATAGCCAATGAAGAAGAAAACAGCCTAACAAATGAGAAAGTCAATGACAAAGCTAAGGGGCTATGTAACATAATAAATATGAGGTGTGACAATTAAGTTCACAAACTCATCCAAGAAGAAGTTGGTGAATATCACTAATTTATAATGCTGAATATTACTAATAACTTGCCTTTGACATCTTCTCCTTGGGAAGCCACAGCACCTAGTCCAATGGTTTTCAACCTTCCTAATGCTGTGATGTATTTTCATTGTTATAAAAGGCTGAGAACCCCTGACCAGTCCTTCCTTCAGAGTGATTCTGGAATGGCCATCAGGGTAGTCATTGTACAAGGAGCTCACCAATAAGCAAAAGCAAAGCAGAGTCCAAGTTTGCCAAGATCTTTTGGCGCAACAAGATGATGTTTTTTTGGGGCATGTTATTACTGGTGATAAAACACATGTATGATATGACCCTGAAATAAAGTGTCAAAGTGCACAGTGGAAGTCAGCCAGTTTTCTAGTCCAAATCAAGAGTCAAAATGATGTTTGCTAACTTTTTTGATGTCACAAGGACTGTTCATTATGAATTTTTACTGATTGTATAAACAGTTAACTGAGTTTACTATTTATAAGTGCTGAAAATCAGCATGGAAAAGTTAGACAACAACCTGACCTTTTCACCAACAACTCATGGCTCTTGCATCATGACATTGCACCAGCTCACACAGCACTATGAGCCAGTTTTTAGCCAGTAAACAAATAAATACATTGGAACACTATCCTACGCCCCTTATCTGGATCCCCAATGACTTTTTCTCTTTACCTGAAGACAAAGCAAATATTGAAAGGAAGATACTTTAATAACATTCAGAATATCAAGAATAACACAACAACGGCTCTGATAGTTATTCCAGAAAAGGAATTCCAAAATTGCTTTGAAGGATGGATTAGGTGCTGGTATTGGTGCATAACTTCCCAAGGGGAGTCCTTCAAGGGTGACTGTAGTGATATTCAGCAATGAGGTATGTAGCACTTTTTCTAGAATGAGTTCACAAACTTATTTGTCAGACCTGGTAAGTTGGTTTGGAATGGAAGGAATCATGTGTTGGAATAGAACTTGAAATTTACATTAGGCACTGGGGGACAGGATATAAGAAAGAAGTGGGAGATGGGACCTTCCTACACTGCACTAAGGGTGTTGGATTATTCTCTTGCTAAGGAGAGCCAGCCTAGACATTTCTGCAAGAGAGTGGTCTAATGCAAGTAGGGGACACTAAGTCAGTAGGTAGATGAATATGAATAGGAAGATGTTGGGGTTGGGGAGGATGAAGACTTAGGATTTTTTGTTTTTGTTTATTTGTTTTTGATATAATGGTTGACAGGAAGCCTAGGGACAGCTTGTATCTTTCCCCAACACCAGCTATGAAAAGGTAATTGATTATATTAGTTTTCAGAACTTCACAAACAACATAATTAAATAAGTAGGACACTTTTTAAAAAGAAATATTCTAAATAATAGTAAAGGTGATTCTTTCAACAATAGTACTATTTATTACAGTGAGAAAAAATGGGAGTTTTCAGAAGAATCCCAAACCTCACAATTTTCCATATTTTATACTCACTCTGCCTAGCTCCCTAAATAAACACAGACACAAATACTGTAAAGTCTTGATCTCACATGTTTAAAAAGGATCTATAAATATTTGGAGAAGTTGAAGAAATAAAAAATAGCAAATGTCAAACAAATACAAAAATCAGCATTTGTTAAGACTTTCACAGAAATAAAAGAAAAACAGACTTTTAGTTAAATATCTGTATATTGCTACAAGAGAATCAATGAAACCATAGCTTTAGTACATAACTGAGAATTATGACTATATCCTTTGTTTCAAATACTTTTATTCTAAAATGTGGCAAGTAAGATATATAAATATTACTATATAAATCTATATATAAATTATTTCCATGAACAGCTTGATAAGAGAAAACCAAGAAATATTTTAGATATATCTTAACCCTTTTTCAACTAGGCTCTGTACTGGTAGTTTTATAGAAAAATTTGTTTTAAGTTTTAATTTCAATGATAATATAAATATATTCCAAATCACCTGAATAACCAACTGATAACTAAACACTGCATTATTTCAGCACCTAGGATCTTTTAATAGTTGAAGCATGACATAATTCTACCAGGATGATGGTAATAATAATATTAAGATAGGGATGGATAAGAAATATTTTAAAGCCATGAATGAATAAGCTTGTTGACTGACTGAACTTGAGGAACAAAGTAAAAGGTGTAGTCTAAGAGGTGGTGGGTATAGCCAGTGACCTTGAGTAAATATCAGTAGTCACTCTTTTCTGTATCTCAGGGTGGAGGCACATTATTACTCCCAATCTCTCTCTTTCAACTCCTCTTCACCATAACCCAAAATCATAGCCCCATGTTTGCAAACCTGTCTGCATGTGGAACCCTGAGATGTCTCTGCAGTCAGAAAATAGGTTTAGTCCTTCCACAGTCATTGACTAATAGCAAATACTTACTTTTTAAGACTAGAAAGAGTGATCTTTATTTGTTTTTTGCCATTTGGTGCTAGAGCTGATGGTACTGATGGTCACTTCTTCTTTACCTCTTCCCTGTGAGGAATGCTTCTAAAAAGCTCCTGGAAATATTAATTTGTACAAAAACATAATTTTAGGCATGTTTTTACAATCCGTAACAAAATTGCATAGTGAAAACACAAACTTACTTTAATGCAATGAGTAAAGGTGATTTTAGTTTTGAATCTGAGTTTCGTTGACAGTATTCACATGAGGTTAAGAATTGAGTGAAAAATCTGAAAAAGTAAATTTGGAAATAATTGACATGGTTAAGGAGTTGTTGATACTCAGTGAGAATGTACTTTGGGGACTGCAGATCGAGGTGGGCCGGAAAGAACAGAATGGAGAGAGTATCATGGCTATTTCTGGGGTTTATTTTCAATTCCTCTTGCATTTAGCTTATTTAGAAATATTATTTATTTATGACAAAATTATACTATCAAGGAGATTTCATTTTTTTAATCAAGGAGAATTTGTTTTTTTTGGTAGTAGAATTTTACTATATCAGCAACCTAAGTAAAAATATAGGCTAGCACTGCCACCAAATGGCTGCTTTTCAATTCTATTTTCTGTTTTTTTCTTTTTCTTCTAAAGCAGTGATATAGTGCCTATGACTTTTGTAGATAGATTTCAAGTTCAGGAAATCATCTGAACTTGAAAAATCTTTCAATTTAGTTAGAGACTCCATATTACCAACAGGAAAAAAAAAAAACTTTTAAGAACATAATGGAACCTGACTATAATGTACTTTCTTGTCATGAAAGTAGCATAACTGTTCATAGTGAAATCCGACATGCTGAGATCACCACCCTGACTACACTCCTGTCCTGTGGCCCAGAGAATTGGACTGCAATTCTAATTTTAAATTAATGTTTAATCAAAATCCTCTTCATTTTCAGGCATTGCTTTGCCTATTTGCTCTAGTTCCCTCCATCTCTCTCCTTTTCTTTGAAACTGAACTTTTTGAAAGAACAATTTATAGCTGACTTGTCTGTAACATCACTTCCCATTCACTCAGGACTCCTTGGAAATTCTTCTGACAGAGGTCACCAATGACCACTTTTTTATTTGAATCCAGCGGGCATGCACTTTACTTGAACCTGTCTTTACCTTGCTGTGATTTTTTATTTTTTTAAATCCATTGACCACTCCCCTTTGACCATCTTCTGCTGTGTGGCTCCCGTTCTGAGGCTGTGGTTCCCTCCCTCATCTCAAGGGCTGTTCAGATTATTTCTGTAACAGATGTATTTCTCCTATGTATCTTTTGAGACATGACTTATTTTATGTTCCCTTTACTTTTTATTTACCATTTTCTCTGGGTAGCTTATCTATTCCCATGGCATTAACTATCACCTATTTGGTAGTGACTCTCATCTCCCACTTGAGCTCTAAATATATGTATTCATCTATTCATCTTGGGAATCCTGCCTGTCTCAAGTTCATCACATCCATAAATGAACTGCTCACCCTTCTCTTGCCCACAAGCACATCCTTCATCCTTATTTTAGTGATTTGTACCGTCTATCTAGTTGCCCAAGTAGAATGCAAAAGAGTCATTCCTGAGTCTTCCCTTTGCTTTCCCTTCCCTCTGGCCACTGACTGAGTCTCTGTGGAGTTACTCCACCTCCCTCAGTCATCACTGCTTCTGCCTTGGCTTAGATCTTTACTTAAGGATCTAAGGGATTCTATTACCTAGAATAATTCAGTGACCCCATCTGCCTGGAGTGATATTTTAAAAACATGTTCCTGTCTGTAATAAGTTCAGAGACTTCATAATCTTCATTATTGTCATGATAAAGTCTAAATTTTTTAGCATGGTAAATAGATTTTTCTATCCTCTGATATCCTCTCTCTCTCGTTCTTCCCTGTGGTGGCCATTCTCAAGTAAAGTTGAGGACCTCTGAAGTAGGTCTTGAAGGCAAGACCTTGCTTGCCTTTGCCCCCACACCTTTCTGCAGCTGTTACGTTCTTCCTTCCTCCTGTAACATCTTTCGTCCCTCAGCTCAGGGTTTTCCCAGTCTGCTCCACTTGCCCTTTCTGGTTGTGAATTTTAGTGCACTTCCTCCATGCTCCTGTAGCATTCTGTGCTTGCTTATATAGCAGAGCAATCCTGTTCTTAAGATAATGATATGTTCTTCTGCCTCAGTGGAATAAGAGCTTCCGGGAGCCACTGAGGGACCACGCCTGGCTTGGCATGCTTGTGCTTCTGCTCCTGCTATGACCTGAATGTGTCCCCCAAAGTTCATATGCTGGAAATTCAATACCCAATGCAAGGGTTGAGAGGAGGAACCTTGAAGAGTGATTAGATCACGAGGATTATGAGTGGAATAATGCCTTTATTGTGGGAGTAGTTTCATTATTGTGAGAGTTCGTGATAACTGCGAGTTTGCCTTGCTCTCTCTTGCTCCTTTGCTCTTGAACTTGTTACCTTAAGGCCCTATGTGGCCTTCTAGGTCCCTAAGTACGGCCTTTTGACTGAATCCAAATTTTACAGAACAAAACCTTTTATTAAAAGGCGTGCAGAAGAGAAAGATGAAGCTTTCCTTGCCTTCTTTGGTGCTTAAAATAGAACAATCTTGAAATCAGAAGGACTCAGGTTCCCCACACCCGCATGAGCCCTTGCCAGATGTGGGCCCCTCCACTGTGGGCTTCCAGGCTCCAGAACTGTAAGAAATAAATCTCTCTTCTTTAGAGATTACCCAGCCTCAAGTATTCTGTGATAACAACACAGCATGATCTAAGACAGCATCTGGGCTCATAATTAGAAACTGATAAATGTCTGTTGAATGAAGGAGTGAATGAATGAACGAACAAAAGATTGAATACATGTTCTCTTTTTCTTGTAGATACTTGGGATCCATTTCTTCTCAACATGAATTGTTTCATCTAATTTAATTCACTAGCTAACTAATAAATTTATTTATTTTCAGTGTTCTGCCAATGGACTAACTACCCAGACTGCTAACAACTCCAGCCAAGGTTTTTGTGGTACTATGGGATCAGGAATGAGAAATGGAAGGCAGGAGACCATTGAAATGGTGAAAGGAGGACACCAGACCTTGGAATCCTGCCGAGGGCACCATCACACCCTGGACTCCTGCAGGGGAGGACACACGGAGGTGGACAACTGCAGACACACTTACTCGGAGTGGCACAATTTCACCCAGCCCCGTCTCGGTGAAGTGAGTTTCCTTAGGTGTTTTGATCTGAAGTTTAAACATCCAAGTGCAGAACAACAGGATATTGAAATTATCACATATTTTCAGAAAGTACTTTTCTATATATTTTTAGGTTCCCTTTCTTTCTTGCGTTAGTCATTTTCCTATGGTCTTTAGTTTTGTTACATTATTTAATTTACAAACAGATTTTATTTAACCTGGTATATTTCACTAATTTCTAAAATCCCATCAAATCATAGGTTTCTAATGTCTTTCAGCAAGTTTCATTTTTAGATGTGCACTTAACACAGAGAAAAGTAGAGGAAAATGTGATATACAAGAATGGGAAAATAATTCTAGTTCCTATAATCACAAACATTCCAAAACAAATCTGTATTTCTCTGTGAAAACACAAATATTTATACCCAGTTTTAGAAATTACATATAGCATATAATAATTTTTTATTTTATTGCAAATGATAAATAATTGTATATATTTATAAGGTACAATGTGATGCTATAGTGCTATACACACACACACACACACACACACACACACGAATGCAATGTGGAATGATTAAATCAAGGTATTAACATATCCAACACCTCAAATACTTAGTTTTTGTGGTAAGAATATGAGAAATTTATTCTCTTAGGAATTTGGAAATATATAGTATGCTAACTATCGTGACCATGATACGAGATATTTTTAATATATCAAGTACCATACACATATAAAGTGTTTTGTTCAAGGAAAGCAAGAATATGAAAGAAAGAGGGGATGAAATAAAGCATTTTCAGCTCACATCAAAATCCCTTGCCAGCTTCTAGAAACTACCAATGCCTTTGCTCTACCCTGAAAGATCCCAATTTAATTGGTTTGGCTTTTATTTATTTATTTATTTATTTCAATTTCTCAAGTGATCCAGATATGCAACTAGGGTAGAGAGCCACTAGAATAGATATTCTTCTGTTTCTAAACTTTCACTCACCAGAGGATCTCACCACCATTTTAGCACAAATACTAGGCCAGAATCTTTGGGTGGACTACAAATGAACAATATTCTGTGTTAGGGCTGTAGGTTATCCTAAATGCAGAGATTTTTGTCTTTCTTTTTAAAAAATTTTGGTCATATTCAAATGTTAACCCTATTTCTGTTTGTAGACAGTCAGTATTCATGTAAGATCAGGTTGGGTTGGAGAGATGCTTAAGTCATACTTTTAGGAGTGTCCTTCAATCCGCACATCAGGTAATGGGAAGTAGAGCTGTCAAGGTCATGACTAAAGACACGTGATAACATAAGCAGTACATGGACTCTGGTGCAGATAGTCAAGGCAGGGACCCTCAGGTGAGGAAAGGGAGGAGGCATAGCAGGTTGGCAAGCCAGGAGACAGGCTGGTGGCAGTCAGGGTAACTGAGCGAACGCCTGGCCTCTTCTTTACAGAAGCCCAGTTTGTGCAGTCTGGGTTTTATTGGTTACTTTTAACTTTACTAAGTTATTTTGTGCATCTCAATATTTTGCCATATTTTTGCCACTTTAGAAACTTGATTCCAAAGCTAATATGATAATTCTTACCAAATTTGTAACTGCATATAATAGCAGTTTTAGTTAACATTTATTGCACATTTAATCTATTCTGGGCATGATAAGCATATTGTATGCATTATAATGTCATCATTCATGTCTAGAATAATCCTATAAGATGGTCACTGTACTCCCATTTTAGATTTGAGAAGGGTGAGATTTAAAGATGTTTAGTAACTTGCCCAAAGTCATAGAGGTAGATGGAAAAGCCAGAGCCTTGCCTCAAAACCAGAACTGTTGGACATCTAATTCAAAATCCCTAAACACTACGCTTTTTATCTCCGTTTTGTAGACTAGCCTGACCGCTAGTTACAAAATGTGGGGACAAACATTTAATGATCATTTGAATGTACTTAAACATAACATTGGTATGCATAATTTTTTTATTTATATGGATTACTAGAAATGTGAAATCTACTGATTTTATGATATGATTATGATAGAGACCAATCATGTGCATTTTTTGTGTGTAGGAATCCATTAGAGGACACACTGGTTAGAAATTAAACATAAAAGGTAAATAAAAAATACATTTTATGTTCATCTGCTTAAGTTGTTTAAAACAATAATACAGTCCCTTCTTTTTTTAATTTTACAGAAATTACATCTATGTAATCAGGATGAAAACCACATGCCATCTCAAGATTACGTCCTTACATATAACTATGAAGGACGGGGGTCTCCTGCCGGCTCTGTAGGTTGCTGCAGTGAAAAACAAGAAGAGGACGGCCTTGATTTTTTAAATAATTTGGAACCTAAATTTATGACCTTAGCAGAAGCATGCACCAAAAGATAACCTCTCACTGCTACCCCTGGGTCTTTCCCAGCCGTTCCGGAGGTTTCCCAAAATAATATAGGAAAGTTCGATTTCATCATATAGATACAATGAATATTTTCTCAATTTTGAATTACACTACTCACCAATTTATAATTGTAAGGCAATTTGTTGCTTACCTTTTCCAAGAAGTACAAAATGTTAAAATAGACAATTAGTACATCTCATACTGCAGCATTGGAATAAAGGTCTCTACAGGGTCGGCTCTTCTTTCCACACACTTTCCCACTAAGTTTGTTAGGTAAATATTAGTCCAACAGTTGCTAAGCTGTGCTACTATCACGTGTTTATATACTCACTTCAAGTAATAGTTTAAGAAACAGGCATGAAATAATAAGCATCACTGTTTGAAGAAAGTTTGGGGAGAGAAACAAGACCAAATTAAATTAAAAATATTGCTGCTCAAGAAAAATTATCGGCTCTCCATCTGCCCCATTTCCAAATTCTTCATTTGACTTTAGAGGCAAAATGTGTTGAACTAGCCCATGAGGGGGGAAGTTTTCTGTAGCAATATAGTTGGAAATGGATCTATATGTATATAAAAATGTTAATTGAGACAATATTTAAAGTGAAACTAAAAGAAAGAGGAAAATGTTAATAACTCAGAAAGAATCTGGGGGTCTTGTGTGCCCTAAAATAGGAATCCAGGGTTTATAAAAGAGAGAACTTGTCTGGCCTCGCTCTTCCATGCTGTGTTGGGATAACTGAGCGTGTTGGGAAACAGTTCACGTCTCCTTGTGTAATTTGTCTAAAATTACAAACAAATTAAATTCTTCTAGTTTCTGTGGGGAAAAAAGTGGAAACTAGGCATGGCAGTAGCAAAGCACTGCACTGTACTGCAGTCTTCTTAAAGATTTTTGTTTCCGCAAATTAGTAGCCAACTGGAAATGACCCACCATAGGCAGGGTTTCCTGCTTTCTGGCTGCAAGATTCCAGAGATGAGGTGCTTCCCTTGAGAGTTAATACAAATTACTTAAACCTATCCCTGCTGTAAAACTCCTGGGCTCAAGTGATCCTTGTCCCCTAGTCTTCCATGTAACTGGGACTATAGGTGCCCACCACAATGCCTGGCTGTTCTTTTGAAGACGGGGCCTCACTCTTGCTCAGGCCGGTCTTGTTGCTCAGGCTGGTCTTGAATTCATGAACCAAAGTGATCCACCCGCTTTGGCCTCCCAGAGTGCTGGAATTGCAGGTGTGAGCCCCTGCCCCTGCCCTGTAATTATATTTTCTGCTATCATTTTCTTTCTCTCTTTTCTTGACCAACATCTTTTTAATTTAGAGCCGAATAATCATGTCCTCTCAGAGAGCTAGAGGGAGGTAGGGGGCAAATCTTACTGAAAGCATCTAATGAGGAGAAATTATTGCCATACCCAAGCCCACAAACCCATCACTGCTTACACTGTGTTCTGTTTGTTTGTTGGGTTGATTTTGGGGGGGAGAGGGTAGAGTGCTGTGGTGTCAGTCTAGTGCACAGTAACCTCAACCTCCTGATATCAAGCGGTCCTCCTGCCTCAGCCTCCCAAGTAGCTGGGAGTACAGGGACATGCCACAAGTTTTAGCAAGAAGCTAATTTCTTCTATTTTTAGTAGAGACAGTCTTGCTCTTGTTCAGGTTGATCTTGAACTCTCCTGAGCTTAAGCATTTCTCCTGCCTTGCTTCCCAAGAGGGCTAGGATTATAGATGTGAAGCACTGGACGGGATTTTTTTTTTTTTTTTTTTGAGGCATGGTCTCACCCTATTACCCAGGCTAGAGTGTAGTATCCAGATCATAGCTCACTGTTGCCTCAAATTCCTAGGGATCCTCCTGCTTCAGCCTCCCAAGTAGTTGGAACTATAGTTATTTGCTCCCATGCCTATTAGTTTTTATATTTTTATTTTTAGATATAGTCTTGCTATGTTGCCCCAGGCTAATCTTGAACTCCTGGCCTCAAGCTGTCCTCCAGCTTGCTGGAGTGCTGAAGTCCTGAGCCACTATGCATGGCCTACACTGTGCTCCATGGCCACATGCAGGGCCTAAGAACTAAAAGGTTTCATTTTCCTCTCCACTCTTTTAGCCACTGTCACCACTGGCATGATACCTCCAGTAGATGGTGAATTAATTTTTATCAGTTTGCTTTCTTTTTTGAGACAGGAGCCTCAAGCTGTCCCCCTGGGTAGAGTGCTGTGGCATCTCAGCTCACAGCAACCTCCCACTCCTGGGCTCAAGTGAGTCTCCTGCCTCAGCCTCCCAAGTAGCTGGGACCACAGGCGCCTGCCACAACGCCCAGCTATTTTTTGGTTGCAGCCATCATTGTTGTTTGGTGGGCCGGGGCTCTGAGCCAGTTTGCTTTCTTATAAGAAATTTTAAAATGATATCATAGAAGAAATACACATTTTGAATGCATGAAAGATTAAGTTGTCATTTTGGGACACAGGAGGAGGCAGCCCAAGTGGTGTATTTGTGCAGAGAGCAACATGAAGACCCAGGACTTCAGGGCAAGGAGAGAGGCCAGCCAGGGCCATGTGTGCTAGTCCAGGTCCCACTGTCTGCTTCCTACTTTTCCAGAGGACTGGCCCTGCCTTTTCCTCCTTTTCTCAAGGCAGTGGTATCTGCATTTAATTTTGGTGCAGTATCAGCCAACCCCTTCTCCATGCCTCACCTTATGTCGGGTGAGGAATCCAGAAGGTGAGAGCTGACCCCAGGATGAGTCTGAAGGCATTTGCAGGGTGGGCCCGAACTGGTTGTACAGAGCAAACCAGCCATTCATGGGAGAGAGTGGCCCTCCATGAAGATTTTCAATTAAATGTGTATCTACAAGGCGCATTTGATTACACATTTTCTGTTTTCTAATTTGCTCCTAAAAGTCTGGGTGTCTTAGATTTAGATTTGTATAATAAAAAGGTAGTTTTCATTTTTAAGTCTTCTTAGTTTAACGTAATCATTTTTAACATGTGTGAACATATGAATTGGGTCAGTCTTATGATATCCAACTAAAACAGGTTGGGGGGGAGCTCAAGGTGCATAATATCCCTTTAAGAACCTAAGTTACTGCAACCTTGCTGAAATGGCCTGCTGTAACCTGAAACCGGTTTTATCTAATGGCTCCTGAAACCACCTGCTGTGCTTTAACCTCACCTCCAATCAAAACCTGCCGGCTCCCCAAGACCCTACCAGTGCAGTGAACTTGCTCAAAGAACAGTCTGTAACATTTCCCTTTTCATAAAACCTCTAACCTCTTCGTTCTTTGGAGGTACTGGAGGCCAGCCACTTGGTGTGGATGCCCCAAATTGCAATTCATTCCTTCCAAATAAAAGTCTTATAAAATTCTGAGATTCATCTGTTTTATTTGACTTTGAAACAAGTAATATTCTTTCCTTCTACGTAGGTGGAAGGTGAAAACGACGCTATTTTCGTGCGTGAGAAAGTATCTTTTTAAAGCTTACTGACTGATCTTGAATTTTTAATGTCAGTGTACAGATTGTTTTTTCTTATTTTCATAAGGAAAATGGCTATCTGAAATGTTAGCTATCTGAAATGTAGTGGGATTCGTTTTGCAACATTTTAAAGAGAGCTTTAATTTTGCTATTCAAAGATATTATTTTGCTTTTAAAGAAACTTGACAGGTTAAATAAGTAAAAACTGGATGTTTAAAGTAATATTTACAGATAGGGGATGGAATAAAACAGTATTAACTTGGTTTCTTGGCTGTGTTGTATTTAGAGGTTAAACGATTGCAAGGTGAACATGTTGCAAACTTGTGCTTAAGGCTGGCGTGGAAACAGAAATTCTCAATAAAGTCTTTGTTGTATCACTGGGGGATATTTTAGAGAATGGGTCATTATCAAATTGTCAACATCATTAGTGTATATTACCCTGCTGGGAAGAGATCCATTATTTTGAAGCATAGTTTTAGAAAAGAGTATCTTATCTCTGTGTACATATGTTATGTTGAATTTTGATTACGTCTAAATGGTATGAGAAAGTGATTGTAACTGCTGAGCATTCTAGAAATAGTACACTGATAGACTTTGAGGAGCATTGTAGTCAAGGGATAACATATACCAGAGGTGGTGGGTTCAAACCCAGCCCTGACCAAAAATAAAAAAATTTTAAAAAAAGAGGTTTAAAAAAAAAAAAAACCAGCAAGAAAACCAGATGCTATTACAGTCTTAATTCTGCCACTAACAGGCTAGATAATGCCTAAGCTATAATCTCAAAATAATCTAAGCAAATAAAGTGCGATTTGCATCATAGCAAATCTATTCCCCATGAATGGCTGACCTTCTCAAACATATATTCATTATATCGAAAGTCTTAAATTCTAACAGAATTTGCACCACAATTTCAATGCCAGGAATTTTCTTGTGGCTGCCATTGTTTTTGTGTGTGGCTTCAAGAATGTTCATTGGATTTTTGTTTGTAATCAGCACAACCTTGGACAAATTCCAAGTGTCCAGCCTCATTGATTTAGTTGAATATTGGGTCATAATGGTTCAGAAGCATGGAAACCAGAATTCTTGGGTATGAATGCTGGACCTGCTACTTATTTGCTGTGTGACCTTAGAAAGACTACTTATTCTCTTTCTTAGTTTTCTCATGTTTAAAATCAGAATAACAATACCAACCCCACAGGCTTGTTGGGATGATTAAATCAGCTAATATATTTAAAGCACATAGAACACTGTCTGCACCTATGAAAAGAATTTTAAATGTTAGGTATGTACTCAGTAAAATTATGCATTTGGATATACTATAAAACAATACCTAATCTCTTTTTAGGGGAAAAAAGTTTGTGCTTAAACTATATATGTATAAAAAAATCCCTGAAACAGATTCTTTCCACAATGGAATTATGGATGATTTATGTTTTCTGTATTAATTTTCCACAATGTACCTTGGTATCATTCTTAATTTACATAAAAGGTTAACAGCAGCCAAGGTGGCTTCTTTTTGACTCTTACATTATTCAGATGTAGGATTGGTTTCATGGGCAGAAAACTTAAATATCATGTTTTCAGGACTCTGTATTCTGGCAGTTTGTTTCAATTCCATAGGTTTGAACTTTCTAACTTTCATTTTCTCTTTACTTTAAAAAAATTGCGTTAAAATTTATAAGACATAAAATTCACCATTTTAATGATTTTAAGGTATATAATTCAGTACCGTTTAGTTCATTCAGAATGTCGTGCGACCATTAGGACTATCTAGTACAAGAGTATTTCCATCATCCTTCCAGGAAACCTTTCAAGCAGTCACCCCTCATTTCCCTGCTCCCCATTAGCTGCAAGGAAATACTGATTTATGTTCTGTCTCAAGGATCTGCCCCACTCTGTACA